AATATTACTAACAGCATCAAAGTTATTTTTATGTTTACTTAATAATATCAGTAAATCTAAAATTAGGGCACCATAAAGGTGTATATTTTTAGAATGATACTAAAAGGCCTTTTACTTGCTAAAATTTTATGAACTAGAAGGCATGTAGTAGATTGTGTAAAATATAATTTTTTTTTTTTTATCATGTTGGCCTTAGAAATTTGTCTATCAAATATGTTCAGTTTTAGTGAGCAAATGTCCAGCGGTGTAGCGAGTCTCTGTACAGAGATTCCTGATGTACACATGTTCAGATGCAATTAGCTCAGAAAAGCATCAGCCATCTACATTCCCTGCAGTTGTCATAGAAACATCTTATTATGAGTCACCATAATTCTATATTGTTAGGTTCACACTTCACTTCAGACCTGATGTTAGCAGGTGAAGCAGATGTCTTTTATTTCCTTGAAGCTTTATAGCATTTCCACTTAGCTCATCTCAAAAAACATATGATTCTGCAAACAGAAAGGGATAAATGATAAATTGGTTACATATTAATAAAATAGCAGCATCTGTGTGTGGTTGACAACTTACCAGCAGGAAGGCAGCAGCTAATAACAGCACTTTGGTGTTCAAATTCATTCCTTGAGGCACTAAGAGAGAAATAGATGTTTTTAATAGCCACTCTTTCAGCTGTTGCCACAAACTGAAAATAGTCACACTACAGTAAATAAGGATCTACACTTAGTTTGGTCTATGAGCAGACTAGGAACGCTGGACTATATAGTTGGTTTTAAAATGAGTCCATATTGACAAATATATATAATATATAGTGTGTGTGTTAAAAAATTATATTAAATTAAAAAAACAAATTTTTACTGTCACACTTGATCAATTTAATGCTTTTTGATCAATTTAAATGTTTTAAATTATTATTATTATTATTATTTTTTTTTTAAGAATGAATGAAAAAAATAGTTTGGCAATAATGCATTAAATTGATCAAAAGTGACAGTAAAATGTAGAATGTTACAAAAATGTATTTCTAATGTACTTCTTTTGAACTTTCTTTTCTATTAAATAATGCTGGAAAATTATATATATTTTTTTATTTAATAATTTATATAGATAGGTCACTTATTGTTATGTTCTTGTAGACCACTTGATATGAACGTGTATATTAATCTTACCATCCAGTCCAAAATACTCATGATCCATGTTACATTCCTCATTATATCCAGGCCACCTTTTCCATATGCGCCCAATATTCTCACCGATACTGGAAACCAGCTGATGCCCCCAATATATGAGAATAATTAGAACAGAGTATATTAGAACTGCATGTAAAAGGTGGGCGATACAAATGGCCTGCTGGAGGGTTTCTGACCTGCAGCTCCTGCTCAGAGAGGCAGCGAGTGTTGCAGCAGGAGCCCTGGATCCTCACGGCCGAGATGCCCTCGGAGTCACAGACCTCGAAATACGGCGTGAACATGCTCCACCTGATAAACAGCCACAGGGCTTACACATACACTCTTTTGGTTTAGGAAGATTGCATAAGAAGAGTTTTCTCTGAGCCTAGAGACTGTTCATTTGTGTGTGACTGATAAAATTTTAGCCTGATATGACCTGATGCTGAAAGGCTCGGTGTGTGACAACAAACAAACATGGCATGGTCTTTGTTCGTGGCTGTCCTGAGAAGGAGGTCATGTTGATGGTTTCATCTCAGAAAGTTCACCACATCTCTCCCTGTTCAATCTGAGAGAGATTACTGGAGGGTTTTTTTGTCTGGCGCAGTTAGTAAATACACAATGGTGACCTTATCTGACAGAATAGTTAACATCATGATGAAACACGATGTGGATGGCTCTGTCTTCATAATAGATTTACAGTACAGGAGATTACTTCATCCATTAGGCAACAGTTAGATCCAGTCAAATAATTTGATTGGACCAGGGCCATTAAACAGCAGTTAAATAAAATGAAAACCATAAAAACATTGTTTGTTTGTTTTTTTGTTTGTTTACTTTCAATAATAAAAAAATAAAAACCATCGTTTTTTAACATTGTTGTTCCTTGAAATAAAATAAAAGTTATACTGAAAAATAAATAAACAAACAAATAAATAAAATAAAAATAAACATTTAATTTTGGCTAGTTTCCAAGGTTCTCATTTTTATGTAGATTACCTTGATATAGTAAAATAACTAAAACTAAAACTGAAATAAAAAACGAATAAAAATATAGAGTCAAATAAACAAAAACTAAAAAAAGAAAAAAAAAAAACAATTACTAAAACTAATTACTAAAAAAAGACAACATTTCTAGTTTATTTAGTTTAACTTGATATACTAAAATAACTCAAACTAAAACCAAAATTAAAAAAAATAATAATAAAACCTATTTAGACATTTAAAAAAATGATTTATAATCATACATTTTATCATTAAAATAAAATGTTTTAACTAAAATTAAAATGAAAACAGAAAATAATTATAAAAAACTACTTCAAAATATAAAAAAACTATGAGAGTATTGTTTTGTAGCTAGTTCCCTAAGCAACAATTCTCTTTTAGTGAAATAAAAATAAAATTCTACGTATGTTTCAGGTAAACAAAAACTAATAAAAATGACAAAAACACACAACAAGCTTTAACTAAAATGAAAATGAAAAATGTAAGTAAACCTAACCTAAAAACTATAAACTAAACTTTAAAAACTAAATAAAAAATAAAATAAAAATATAATATAATATAATCATATTGTATTATAATTGATACTAAAATAACATGGGACCCAGACAAGTGCGCTGATATTTTTTTTATAACACTGGGATGTTTGCATATTCAAACTCCCTAAATGTAAAACCACAGTTAATTGTTTTACATGTCAATCAGATGACTGTTTCCTGTCTGAGTGGCTGATTCTAGCAGTGTGGATTAATATTCTAGCTGCATGAGACTGAGATCTGGTTTGCTGTTGATCTCTACCTTTGGTGAACTGTCCCAATTAGCTCTCTCTCTGGTGTATAGGCCCTTATTTCCATCAGGCAGCAGCCAAGCCAGCACATCTCTGCTCTCAGGGGCCTCTCAAACAGAAAGACGCACTCTGCGTGCTTATCAAAGCCTTGTAGTGAACAGGATCGAGCTGGACCGCAGCACTGCATACACATGCATGAGCTCTCTAACAGAGACAGGAACACAAAAAGAGGTTTTGTGACACAGTTGTGTTCAAAGTTTACATGTGGCTGCTTTGGTGTCTTTTACAATGTCATAGTACAATCATCTTAAAGACTGTTTCACAATATGACCATTTACAGAACGACAAACATCCTGTCTCTTATATTTACCTTCCACAGCCACAAAGAGCTGATCACTGCTTTCTGTGGAAATGCTGTATGTTCTGCGGGCTACACACTGAGGACCTGATGCATCACAGAAATACTGTATAAACCTTTAATAAACATTTTTGTATTTACACAAGAAATTATATAATGTATCTCAAACAAACTTCAAGCTATTCCACTAATCATAAATAAAAATATATTGAATTTAAAAATCAAAACAGTGATGTAAATATTTTTTGAATACTCATTTATATGTGACACTAAAAATTGTTAATATATACAATATTATTTAATACATTTTTAAAACCATTTTAATATGCTGATTTGGTGCTCAAGAAACATTTCTTATTATCAATATTAAAAATGATTGTGCTGCTTAATGCTTTTGTGGAAATATTTTTCTATTATTATTCTTTGAAGGACAGAAAAGAACAGAATTTATTTATTTAAAAAAATTATAAATGTCTTTACTGCCACTTTTGACACTGGTTTCAGGTCCCACCATAGCACAGAAACTGCACTTGTTAAAATTACAAATGACTTGCTTCTTGTGTCAGGCCAAGGCTGCATCTCATTGCTAGTTTTACTTGTTCTTAGTGATGCGTTCGACACTATAGATCATGACATACTCATAGATCAATTACAAAACTATATGGGTATTCAAGGGTAGGCTTTAAGATGGTTTAGATCCTACCTGTCCGATCGCTACCACTTTATTTATTTAAATGGGGAGTCATCTCAATTATCACCAGTAAATTATGGAGTGCCGCAAGGATCTGTCCTAAGTCCTCTGCTTTTTTCAATATACATGTTGCGACTTGGTAATATTATTAGAAAATACGGGATTAGTTTCCATTGTTATGCTGATGATACTCAACTATATGTCTCAACAAGACCAGATGAAACTTCTAAATTATCTAAGTTAAGAGAGTGATGATTTTTTTTAAACATCACCTTTAAAGGTGTTATTTTTAATAAAAAAAAATGTTCCTCATGAAAAATAGTCTAATCTACATTTATTTTATAGATGTTTTATTCACCTTGCAGTTCTGGTCTGGCAGTAATATGAAGTCTTGTGACTGTTCTCAGAACAGACAGTTTTCCCACTCTTTCATTGTCTGTCTCTTTCCAGCTAGGTCCTCCATCCTCTCCTCTTGTCCTGCCTGTATCCCGGAGCACAGGAGGGAGGTCCTGCGTGTCTGTAGTAGGTCTAATCTGCCTGTGGAAAGCTCTGAAGAGCATGTCAATATGTTTCTCCCTTTCCAGACCAAACGGAAGAGGCTGAGTGGTCACAGATGGGGAGGCCTGATTGGGAGAGAGAAAACAAAGGAGGTAAAAACATGGCATATGAAAGTCAAAGTACATTTTTGTCAAATGTCACTAAAATCAGTGTAAACTGACATGTGCAACCCATTTTATTTCTACAATATAATGTATTTTAATGTAAAACAGGATATTCAATGTGAAAAGTTATAGGGAGTGGTAAGAATGCAGCCAGACCAAATGTGAGTTTCCTAAAACACTTCCCATTCCACTGTAGCTTTCTGATAAATCTAGTAAATGATTAGATACTAGAATATTATCGGCAAACTGTTTATGTTCATCATTTGTAAGCCACTCCGAAATAAAAGTGTCTGCTATATGAGTGAATGTACATGTAATATCATGATCAAAAATGGCAAAGAATCATTTTTATACACTGTAAGACCAGAGTAAATGTCAATTTGACTGTAATAAAGTTTTTTTTAATACATGTCCCTTTGTGAAAAGCTTTTCATAACCAGAATTTCATATAACAATGTATGTATGCATTATATCCATAAAAATGAAAACAATAATATAAAAAGAATACAGAAAATGATCAATAAAAACATTATTCAAATGATTTAACTGTACTTAAGAAGATTATTTAATAATTATTTTTATGCATTGTTATTTATATATTATTTAATACCATTATTTAGACACTATTACATATGCTAATTATTTAAAATATATATTAAGATTAAGATTACTACACGTCAAAAAATAAATGCATTAATTAAGTTCATTTTTATTCTAATATTTTAATTAATTAAAAAATATATATACACATTTTTTTGGAAGCCATGAAAAAATAGCAACAATTTTGAGAAAAGGGGGAAATAATGATAATTGACAAATTACTTTTCTTTTCATTCCACTCTGGATTTTTTATTAATGTTTTTTATTTTTTAATCAAAAGGTTTGTGATTAAGCCATACTTTGTTGTATAACTATGCTAGACCTTAAAGGGATCATTTAACCAGAAATGAACATTCTTTCATCATTTACTCACCCTCATGTTATTCCAAACCTGTATCAGTTTCTTGTTCATGTTGATCACGAAAGAAGACATTTTGAAGAATGTTAGTAACCAAATGCATAATATGGAAAAACTACAATTGAAGTCAATGGCTACTAGCAGCTGTTTATTTACCAACATTCTTCAAAATATATTTTTTCGTGATCAACAGAAGAGTTTGGAACAACTTGAGGGTGAGTACACAATGACAGAATATTTGGGCGAACTATCCCTTTAACACCTTAACCAATACTAATTCAGCTGCTAAATAACAACAACAGTGTAAGAACATAATATCCTACCATTTGAGGTCCTGCGGTTTTAGGAGCTGCTGGGCAGGTGCAGTAGTGATGGGATAAGGGTTTCCTTTACTGAGAAACAGCTTCCAGACAAGCTTCAAATACTGTGTTAGTAGTTGTAATGCTACTCCTACAATGAACACCCCCCTCCTGCCCTGCTCTCTCCTTCCCGGATCTGGTCTTTGTCACACAGAAAAGTAGATAATAGATCCTCCTCAAGTTAGTGGGGGGTAGAGGAGTGACATTACCTAACCTGAAACAATTCACATGATTTCATGCAGAAGATCATCACTTACATGTGAGAGAAGGTTAAAGTTTTTATTTTCAGGAAAGCATCAACTGTTGAATCACCACACAGAATGAAAGCTGATAAAGACATTGACAAGCAAATAGCATGACCTTCATAATCATCAACATCTCATCAGATCTCAATTAAGCCAGTCTCAAATGGCTTCAGATCCAACCAACTCTCTTCTCTGGAGACCTTGGATCACTCTTGTTGGCCTGTAGCACTACTAAATTGAAGTGCTAAGCGCTCCTTTGCCATAGCATGAACAATCTGATGGCTTTTTGTCTCCAGAGCATCTTCAACAAAGTCCTCCAGACTTCTGCTGGAGTTTCTCTGAGTCTATCATTTAGTTTTACACTTGCGTTCAGCCTGTGATGTCTCCAGGTGTGATTTCAGGCAGGTATTTTTTGGGGTCTCCAGGGAAGGGCTGAGATGGTGCCTGGTTAAAATGTCCCATCAGGAAGATTGCGATGGTGCCCAGTATAAACAGCAGCGCCATGACGATGAAGCACATCCTGTCAATCACCCTGGCAACCAGAAACCATTCTTCATTTTCCTGCAGGGCGAGAAGAAATGATGACTGGAATTCAGACGTCAACACCAGTTTTTCTGGGATTGGAAGGTTAAACCCTAACACAAACATCTACTGTTCTTGTGTAAATGAGACAGACACATTCAGCCTCATGTTTGAAGAATTCTGGAAAAGTCACTCACACTTTGAAAGTCATTTTGGTGCTTGGCACTTTCCGCAATGTGTTTACAGGAAGACACACACTGCTGCACTTCTAGTGAAGCTGAAGCCAAACTGGATTCCAGATCCTGTGCTGTGTTCCCTCCCAGACCGTTTTCTGAGGTCAGACCACAAAAGAGTACATTTAAGGACAGGAACCACCGTATTAAATTGTTTTAGTTGTATTTAACATGAAACATTTTAATTAATAATATATTTTTTTATTAATACTATCTAAAAAAAAAATCTAAAAACAAGTATTTTAAATATATATTAAAATATATAATTTATAGTTTATTTAAAATTTAGAATTATTTAAAGGATATACAATTTTTTTAAATATTTTTAACAGAAATCTTTTATTCTGCATCAAAAAGAAAACAGTAAAAAATATATAGTAAAAAAAACAGTAATATGTTGAAATATTTGTACAATTTAAAATAAAAAAACACAGTTTTTGATTTTAATATATTTTAAGATATATATGTCATGGCAAATCTGAATTTTCAGCAGCCATAACTCTTTTTTTTCTCAATTTTGAAAACAATTGTGATTCTTAATATATTCTGTGGAAATTGTGATATAAATTTTAGAATGCAAAAGAAGAGCATTTATTTTAAATATTTGTTTTAAAATCTTTTCCAACCTTATAAATGTATTTTCTCTTACTTTTAATCAATTTTAATGCATTCTTTCGGAAACAAAAGTAATAATTTATTTCTAAAATAAATTAAATAAAAACCACAAACTTGTGAATTAAAGTTTAACTCACGTATTTTCTCTAAAGTGTTCTTCAGCAGCCCCTTTCTCTCCTTCAGTCGACTGAACATCAGCTCTGAGCGTGCTGTTCTGAACATGTATTCATCAGCCTTTGCTATTAATCCCAAAGAGCTACGTCTCCTGTGGCGAAGCGGGGTGCCGTTGCCCAGGGCAAACGTTTTAAAATCCCCTTCCTCCTGCTCAGGTGTACAGCGCTGCATCGTCATCCTCAGCAGACGAGGAAGGATGTTCAACAAGACCTGAGTAGCCCCAAAATGCAGGGAAAAGCGAGTATTTAATAATAACCTTTTCATTAAGTCATTTTGGATTGGACAAAAAGCATAAAGTAAAAAATGGTTAGATAATTCTGTTGTACCTTTCTGATGGTGTTGCTCATGGGGTGTGTATTTGGAGTTCGCAAAGAAACATTCAAAACCACCACAGAGTTCATTACAGTTATCGTGGTCACCGACATCACAAACATCAGATACCTGCCAAAAGAGCACAAATTTTTCCACAAAATGTGTGCTCGAAAAAAGTGTATGTAAACTGTTTTATCTTATGTTGCACATTGAATACAAGTCGTATCAGAAACTGCTGAAATGATTTAATGAGTGAACAAAAGCACAATCTCACTTTCCGATGAGAGGAACAGCTTGGGAAGTTTCTGGCACTTTCTTGGCAATAAGGAACAGGAAGACAGTCTGACCGAGCAGGATCGCAATGGTCATAGTACATTTCTGTCCTCCAGCTATTATAAACAAACAATTAGTTCAACATACTAATCACAAACATACTGATCAGAAACTGATTCATTTCATAACTAAATGACAGGTTAGGTTAAAGTGATTGTCTTACTGCAAAAGTTACAAATTCACTTCATTATGATTATCTTGATGCAAATTAGGTCATGTTTTTCATTGATAAAGACATTTATTCACAAGTTTCTCCTATTGTCCCTACTGGTCAATGGCTCTGGATGACATTACTAGCCACACAAAAATCCCTCTACATTTGTAAGAACTTGCTGAAATGGCAAGTCTATTGGACATCAGCCACGGTGACATTTGTTAACATTTGCTATGGAGCCTGACCTTTGGCCGGCAGGAAGTAGACGAGCAGCCCAAGGGATGAGAAGAGGACACAGGGCACAATGATATTGATGATGTAGAACAGCGGTTTCCTCTGGATGATGAGGAAGAAGATTATCTCCTGGTACTCCAAATCATCTGGGCTGTATCGCTTGTTCACGACCTTCTTAGCAGGGCGGTGCTTAATAATCCATTCCCCATTCTCTGACCAATCAGGGCACAGAGTAAAATGCATGTTAATGAACAATTATGATTATTAGTGCTGTTTGCTGAGAGAAGCATTAGCCTACTATACTCATCCTCAGGGTTAGGGATCTCACCACATTAAAGGGGTCATATGATGTTGCTAAAAAGAACATTATTTCGTGTATTTGGTGGAATGAAATGTGTTTATGCGGTTTAAGGTTAAAAAAAACCACATTATTTTCCACATACTGTACATTATTGTTTCTCCTCTATGCCCCGTCTTTCTGAAACGTGTCGATTTTTACAAAGCTCATCGGTCTGAAAAGCGAGGTGTGCTCTGATTGGCCAGCTATCCAGTGCATTGTGATTGGCCGAATACCTCAAGCGTGTGACGGAAATGTTACGCCCCTTACCATATTATTTCCTCAGCGACCAGCACGGATCAGGTCCGGGCATGACGAAGCGGATATCGTCCTCTTTTGGAAGGCCAAACAAAGTAGTTTCACTTTCACAACGAAACACACCGCGCCTTCATGACATGGCGGCAGCAGCAACAACAATACTACAGCGAGAATAAAAGTTACGCCTTCTTTCTTTGCGTGAACATTTGGGCGGTGTTATGCAAATCTTCCCACATCGTGATGTAGATATGTGGGGGCGTGTTAGAATGAGCCGTTTTAGGTAGGCGTAGTGGGCTTTGAACTTTTATAAAGAATATCTCTTTGGATTTGAGACTTTAGTCTTTGCAACTTTCCAGATCTTCTTTATGCACCAAGAGCTTGTAACACTCCAAAGAGAAAGGAAAAATTGAAATCGCATCATATGACCCCATTAAACTTTGGTAAACTGGTAGTGAGAAGAAAGAACATCCAGAATTCAGACATCAACACATTTTTATAAGGGAGTGAAAATTTTAAATTTACTTTTCTAAGTAGGCTAATTGTATTTGTTTGTATTGTACAATAAAATATACACACAAAAATCCTTACCACCTTGAGAACCTTAGCAACCACCTAAAACACCACAGTAAATGCATAGAAACAACTGTATGTACGTTTTTTTAACCTTGAAATATCAGTTTCATAATATTCTGAAGGTACACTGACTTCTAATGAGGCGAATAGTTTCTGTTTTATCTTCCACGCTCCCCCCGAATGTTTGTTCTAGTTTGGAGAGCGGGAAAATGGCGGATTGCTTTAGGGCAGCAACAAATGCACATGTACAGCTATCTACTGTAATTATGACAGTGATATATTTACTGAATTTACAGTAAAACATGTCAAGTCAAATTTATATAGCACTATCACAATACATATTGTTTCAAAGCAGCTTTACAGAAGATCATGATGTTAATGTTTATAAAATCTTAATATCTTGCCTTATGGTCACATAGCCAAAGACTATAGAATACCCAAGACGTGTCACTCCTATAGTTTTGAATGGGGAAATAGGCAACGCTCAATATGGCCGCTCAATCGCAGGAAACCCCGCCTTCTGAATGAAAGAGCCAATCACTAATCGGTAAAGTCAGCGCGTCACTCCAGCTGCCGTTAGAAGTTTTCTATAGCAGCTGCCCGGTTGCTATAGAAACAGTCAGCGTTCTGAGACGTGCTCTTAGGACTGCGCATGCCACTGGCTGATCTAGCCTGAAAAATAAGCTTTTTATAAGGCTATATGAGCAAAAGTAACAACATTTATGACACAGTTGTCAGATTTCTTTGGTGATTTCAAATATGAAATTTAATCGTAAGCTTAGTGAACAGTTTTGGAGAATTTGATGTTTCCCCATTCAAAGAGATAGGAGTTGCATGTGCATGCCCGAGAGGCGTTTCAAAGATGGCCGCCGAGTGACATGACTTGTCTTAAAAGGACTTTGACATAGCATAGAGCTGGGCCATTATATAGTTATCCTTTTTGTGATGATACAAGTAATCAAACTGTTGAAATATGCTATATTGTATATATCACCCTACACAAGTATATCCTACTTTACAGAAAGAACTGGGTGATACTAATAGGCTAGTTACATTTTGTGATCTGATAGCTGTTTGGCAAGTTGACTGTATGTTAACTAAGATTTGAAGGACTTTAATTTACAGCAGTTACGGTTTTACAATTCA